TAAACCAGGGGAGAGAGCACCAAAGCAACTGGTATTTGATTTAAAAATCTACACCCCTTGAAGATGACATATTTTTAAGGTTCCAAGAAAGTGACTGTATTGGGAAATGAGGAAGAGAAGCCGTGTTCATCCTTTATTCGCATTGCCTCTTGTGGGACCACTGGCTCCCGTGAGAGATCCCACCTTTAGTCCCACTTTGCTTGCCCATGGCCCTTGTTATTTACATATAAGTATTTAAGTATTTACATTTTAATTTCTTACCATATGGCTAGAATTACTTATCAATTTTAATAACTTTCTTTTTTTTATGTATAAGTACTGCTTTATTTGCATCCCACAAATTTTAATACAATGCAGTTTTTAATTATTTAGTTCTAAATATATGGCAATATTCATAGTGACTTATTCTTTAACCTAGGAATTACACTGAAATTCAATAACTTTCAATTAAAAAAAGTATTCCACATGCAGTGCTGAAAGGTGAGAAAATAAGATTTGCAGGTGGCCTGAGGCAGGACAGGGTCACTCTGTGTTCCCCTCGGACACCTCGCTTTCCTCTCCCCCATCAGGCATATCTATATACACGGAGTCCTGTATTCGGGCTGATTCACGGAGCGCCCTAGGATAAGAAGAACAATGTCAAGGCTTTTACTCTTGAAAACAGCAACTAACAGGCTGGGCAGTTAACTCAGCTGCTTAGAGCACAGCCTCACATCACCGAGGTCCTAGGTTCAGATACACTTACTGACCAGCCACCAAAAAAATAAAATAAAAATAAAACTTTCATTATTTCCTCATTGTAGATACAAATTTTAAATTGTTCCCAATCATTTACTCTCTGTTCTTGTACCTCTCATCCTCATTAGAAGATGTCTTGTCGTGTAGCTTTTTGGCCATGTTTTTCTGGCGGGTAGCACTCAGCGGTTTATACATATCCCTAAGCCAAAGAGGCTTCCTTAACAGGAAAAGTCCTTTCTAGAAAGGAAAAGGGGAAATATTAATTCTGCATTTCCCCTGCTATCTCTGGGCACAGGAGTGAATCCTTCTCAAATTTACCTGAGAGTGATTTTTCTCTGAGTATTTCCTATGCCGCAGAAATCCAAAACAGCCCCTTGGGAGAAAACACATGCAGAAGACAATTAGTCATGCCATTTTCCATGTCTCTCACAATGTCCATCTCTGGTCTTATTAGGACTAAATGTGCATCTCAGTCCATAATCACAATGAGTAAATCACCTCAGACCAGGGACCTTCAAAAAAATTTCATGCATGCTGGGCTTCCAGAAGCTCTCTGTGTCTGTCAAAATGTCCTCACAATGTCTCTGGGGAGAACTGTGTATGCAGCATGGAGTACAGGCAGGAACTTCAGCCCCATACACTCCCTTGACCAAGTGCCCTCCTGCAGTGAACAAGGTGCACAGCCACACTGGGCAGAAGTGTCTGCTGTCTC